TAGCATTTATAGCGGCTAAGAAATGCATTGCCATTAATTGGAAGGTTGGTTATCCTCCCACAATGTATGGAAGAAATGTCAAGTTATGTACAGTATCACTAGATTCGTTTTATTACAAGATTAAGGGTATACTGTGCATCTTCAATAAGGTCTGGATGCCTTATATGGAATACCTTACGACAAAAGGAGTCTGTATTGAAAACATGCCCACTTCAGGGGAGATACCTATTTAGGCAATCCCTAGTTGCTGGGCTGCTCAGTCCTGGCCCTGGGGGTCTGCTGTACTATTGTCACTCTGTCCTTGACCTAACACACCTGAAACCAATAATGAATGTTTCTCTAAGATCCTAAAGCTGAGTGAGGTGTGTTGGGTTGGGGCGCTACAGGGCTGTGGACCCCTAGGGGCAGGACAGGGTGACCCAGCTATATTGTGTGTAAGTAAAAAGAGTTCTATAGTACTATTAGGCCTATGGTATGAATTATATGGAGGATGTACTGTTTCTGTGTGTTAATGTGTAGATGTATGTGTGTTTCCATTCATCTTTTGTTTTCCAAACCTTTCCCTTGAGACAAAAAAAAGATGGGAAGGAAGCTGTGTTGGGGAGAGAGGTGAGTTATTGACTAGACTGGTGGGGGTCGGGCGTGTAGGCGGCTCGGGCTGGCTGGGCGGTCTGGCTGAAATTTGATATAGAGGATGTCTTAATAAATACAATCAAAGGTAGGTCTTTGTACTTTATTTGTAAGAGTTGTTCATTTGTGAGGCTATTGGTTAAAGGTGCAACACAATATTTATTATTTTGTTATCATTGATCTAGTTCAGTCTTATCAATCACTTAAACATATTTAATCATCTCTTACCTAGCTTGATTACTGTGGGCATTTTTGCTTTCTTTTTGTTGTTCTAAATAGAGACAGCTAGAAGGGCCATGGGTCATATTAGATTGTGTAGAAATGCAGGAAATGTGCTTTAGATGCCCCCAAAAATGGGAGGACCCCCAGACCCCCCGCCAAATTATGTCCCCTCCACTTTTAAAACCAAAGTTTCACCCCTGATTAGCAATGTGGTAATAACTCCACCTGGCCCTCAGACAGGTTAGGGGTGGAGTAAGTTAACACCATATTGATGACCAATCCTTTCAGATGTGCCGAATGGAAAGGGGCAGAAGGTGTAAGCTTGGGCTATAGGGAGTCGGGAGTTTTTATCATATTTCATATCAGTCCATTCCTTTTATATCAGTGAGGGGGAATGAGCAAGTGCACACCTCATGGAGTAGGGTAGAGAATCTGAATGCAGCCCCTGTCTAATCCTTAACGGTCTAGCTTCAGGTGCAGGATGGGTGTGTCTTGTTACTGAGGCTGCAGGAGAAAGGCGGTCGCCACTAGTTAACACTTTGCCTATTTCTACCATTTATCTTCTTAAAACCTAACCCTAACCTTAACCACACTGCTAACCTTATGCCTAACCCTAACCTTAACCACACTGCTAACCTTATGACTAACCCTAACCTTAACCACACTGTTAACCTTATGACTAACCCTAACCTTAACCACACTGCTAACCTTATGACTAACCCTAACCTTAACCACACTGCTAACCTTATGACTAACCCTAACCTTAACCACACTGCTAACCTTATGACTAGCCATAACCTTAACCACACTGCTAACCTTATGCCTAACCCTAACCTTAAATCAAAACCTAAAAGCAAGTTTCTATGAATTTTTACGATATAGCCTACTGGAAGACCACTACTTCCTGTCCCAGCTCCTCGATGTCATTGGTCGACAGGACCTGCTCCGCCTCCTGGAGACGGCAGCCGGAGCGAACGGCCAACACTCAGACTGATGCAAGCACCACCCTCTCACAGTACAGGTGAGCACAGAGCTGTGTGTGTGTGTGTGTGTGTAAGTAACTTCATTGTCACAACAATGGACCACATAGAGAGGCAACACTGAATTGCTGGTCATTCTGGTAATTCCCTGGTTGCTTTACATCTTTCTTTCTTTTATTATTTATTCATTTCACTCTCTCTCTCGCAATTGAATTGAATTGTGTACTGACTGAGAGAGAGAGTGAGATGATGCTATATAGGGTCTCAGAAGATGTAACTCAGGAGAATGTCACTAAGATGAAGTTTCTGCTGAGCGATAAACTGCTCTCAGGACGACTGGATCTCTTCACTGTAAGAAGTATATCACACACACTCCCACAAGCGCGCGCACACACACACGCACACAATTACATTATCTCTCTCTCTTGCTTACTTTTTGTTGTTCTAAATAGAGACGCTGAATAGAGAAGCTGACGCGTGTGAATTGTGAGGTCAGCAGATGACAGTTTGAAGACTCCAAACGAGCCCAAATACATCTTTACCATGAAACTCTTCCTTCCCTACCTCTGAAACACTGGTTGGCTGACTTACAGCATCAAATCTTCCAGATCCGGACTGAGAAACTTCAGATAGGCTGTTATGATTTAACAGTGAGTTCTCGCCTGCTTATTTAATGTACGTAAGCTGTCACGCTCAAGGACCCTACCACAGCTTCTTGTACCTTGGCACATCTCCCATCAGAGAGAGTGTGTTGTAACATTGGTTGGAATGTCTGTTTTCCTGAAAGATGTTTCAAGCTCAAGAGATTAATGTATTTATCCATTAAATGGTGGCAATTGAGGAATGCTTACTTTGTCTGTGCAACAAAACTATAATACATGTGTATTTTACCACCGCTGGTTCTGGAGATGGTCTGTAAAATGGGTGTCTATTTTTCTCTTAACCATGTTTTACATGTTTTATATTCAACAGGATGTCACTCTAATTCTGAGGAGCATGAGGTAAAAACATTTCAGCAATCCAACTGTTGATAAAAGATAAAATATTTATAACAGTATAACATATTTTAAGAATGTATAAAAATTCCCAAATAAAGAAAGTAGATGAACTCACTTAAAAATATGTAAAGTAAAGCTGAAACAGTGTGCCGAGATATCAATAACTAGTTGTTCTTGCTATGAAACCTGACATTGAATGCTGATTTTGAGTATCTTCACATATCAAATAAATTCTTAGTTTGGTTAAAAAGTCAATCTAGTCTCACCTAGTACACTTGGTTGAGCTGCAGCAGTGCCACAGGGCTTTTGGTATATACAGTGAGGGAAAAAAGTATTTGATCCCCTGCTGATTTTGTACGTTTGCCCACTGACAAATAAATTATCAGTCTATAATTTTAATGGTAGGTTTATTTGAACAGTGAGAGACAGAATAACAACCAAAAAATCCAGAAAAACGCATGTCAAAATGTTATAAATTGATTTGCATTTTAATGAGGGAAATAAGTATTTGACCCCCTCTCAATCAGAAAGATTTCTGGCTCCCAGGTGTCTTTTATACAGGTAACGAGCTGAGATTAGGAGCACACTCTTAAAGGGAGTGCTCCTAATCTCAGCTTGTTACCTGTATAAAAGACACCTGTCCACAGAAGCAATCAATCAATCCGATTCCAAACTCTCCACCATGGCCAAGACCAAAGAGCTCTCCAAGGATGTCAGGGACAAGATTGTAGACCTACACAAGGCTGGAATGGGCTACAAGACCATCGCCAAGCAGCTTGGTGAGAAGGTGACAACAGTTGGTGCGATTATTCGCAAATGGAAGAAACACAAAATAACTGTTAATCTCCCTCGGCCTGGGGCTCCATGCAAGATCTCACCTCGTGGAGTTGCAATGATCATGAGAACGGTGAGGAATCAGCCCAGAACTACACGGGAGGATCTTGTCAATGATCTCAAGGCAGCTGGGACCATAGTCACCAAGAAAACAATTGGTAACACACTACGCCGTGATGGACTGAAATCCTGCAGCGCCCGCAAGGTCCCCCTGCTCAAGAAAGCACATATACAGGCCCGTCTGAAGTTTGCCAATGAACATCTGAATGATTCAGAGGAGAACTGGGTGAAAGTGTTGTGGTCAGATGAGACCAAAATCGAGCTCTTTGGCATCAACTCAACTCGCCCCAAGAACACCATCCCCACCGTCAAACATGGAGGTGGAAACATTATGCTTTGGGGGTGTTTTTCTGCTAAGGGGACAGGACAACTTCACCGCATCAAAGGGACAATGGACGGGGCCATGTACCGTCAAATCTTGGGTGCGAACCTCCTTCCCTCAGCCAGGGCATTGAAAATGGGTCGTGGATGGGTATTCCAGCATGACAATGACCCAAAACACACGGCCAAGGCAACAAAGGAGTGGCTCAAGAAGAAGCACATTAAGGTCCTGGAGTGGCCTAGCCAGTCTCCAGACCTTAATCCCATAGAAAATCTGTGGAGGGAGCTGAAGGTTTGAGTTGCCAAACGTCAGCCTCGAAACCTTAATGACTTGGAGAATATCTGCAAAGAGGAGTGGGACAAAATCCCTCCTGAGATGTGTGCAAACCTGGTGGCCAACTACAAGAAACGTCTGACCTCTGTGATTGCCAACAAGGGTTTTGCCACCAAGTAGTAAGTCATGTTTTGCAGATGGGTCAAATACTTATTTCCCTCATTAAAATGCAAATCAATTCATAACATTTTTGACATGCGTTTTTCTGGATTTTTTTGTTGTTATTATGTCTCTCACTGTTCAAATAAACCTACCATTAAAATTATAGACTGATCATGTCTTTGTCAGTGGGCAAACGTACAAAATCAGCAGGGGATCAAATACTTCTTCCCCTCACTGTACGCTGGTGAAATTATGTATCATTAACATAAAATGTCTTATTGCCCAGCCCTGTAAAATTGACAATATCAAATACATGTAGCAGTCAGGTAAATAAAGACACCAGCAGTAATGGTGGCTCCTCTCCCACCATGTAAAAGTAATAAAATAAGAATGCCACCACAGGAACATTGGTAGTGTCATGATTGAGGCCTATTCAACCTTTCATATCAAAACTGAAATTGAAAGAGCATATGGACGGTTGATGATGAAGGGTACCATGGTAACATCAAGAGGTCATCAGGAAGAAGGCGTGGTCTCAGCAGGAAAGATGAGTGTCTTGGTCAGGGTGTCTCTAGAATCTGGTGATTGCTTGACCACCTCGTAGCCATAACAACCGTTAGCATCTTTAACACGAAGGTCACCTTCTTTCTTGCTCACCTCGGCTTTGACCCCTGTGAGGATCTCATAGATGTTTTTCCCTCTGCAGAGACAGGAGACACACCATAAATTGAGATGAACACACAAGTCAACACAAGCATTCAACAGAGAACACAAACTAATTTAGGACATGAACATGATGTGCAGTGAACTCCAAGCTGATGTTACCTGGTGCATATTTTCTCAAGCTGGCCACACAGAGACTGGATGAACCAGGACCCAGAGGTTGGGCTCCTGATGGAGAGATACTGATCTACGTTGGCCATGAAAACCAGGTAGTCTGAGTATAGTGGAAGGGTGTAGTCTTGGATTTGTCCGTCATCTGTATCCAGTTCCCCGTCCCTCCTTTCAACTTTAAGCTTTTTGTTCACTGGCACTCCCTCCTGTAGGTCGAGCCCCGACAAGCCTGGATGAAGAACAGCTTCGGCTTTTCAACAAGGATGCGACAGTTTGTGCCGTTGAAAGGTGAGAGGATATCAATGGTGGGGACAACTGTTCCATCTGTGCCACAGACACCCTCCTTTTTTCCATGACTCAGAATGCAGCAGACGAAGGCGTCGCCATGCTTAGGAAGATCCTTTAGATCAGTGAACTGACCACCGACCCACTCCTTCACATCGTACGGTTGCAGATCAGATAACTGCTTCAGCTCAGAGAAGACCTTCAGCACACTGGGAATCTCCACTGCAGTCTTGTCCTTGCACATCACCACCCTGAACTTCAGCCGGCTGAATATGTTAGCCAGATCCACTGTAGGAGAAGACAAGACACTTAACAACCAGGCCTCTCACTTCACTGTATCCTCATTCTATCACATCAAATCATGATAATCAGCTGAATCAGCAAAAGAGCAAGCTGGTCAGATGTTGTAATAGAGAAATGAGGCTTGTTTTTGAGGATAAAACGTTGACATACCAGCATCCTTGTTTGTTCCTGTTCTTTCACGCAGTTTATCAAAGATCTCGTTGTTGATGATCAAACAGAGACCACGGGGTACACTGGTCATCTCATACAGACTGACCTGGAAACAGAGGAAACCAGGGGTCATTTACACACAAAGCTATTTCACATCACACTGACAGCGTAAAAAATGGAGGCTTCATTGACTTGAGAACAAGCACTGTGTGTGTCAACAACAGTGTCCGCTGTGTGTGCTGAAGGAGAGTTGTGTTGCGATGAGAAGACAGGTTAAGTTTTGGTTCTGTGTATTATTGTATATTGTTGCCTTGTGTATTTGCTCTGAACTGTATGATCAGTTGTCAGGTGTAATATATTTAGTTAATAAACACTTTAAATGTAGATTGAGGGGTTATCACCTCATCGCCACTAGTTACCTCTGTTTCCAGGTCAGAAGTATCTAGAAAACACAGAAAACACAGTTAGATACCTGATACCAGCTATCTAATACAGTAGAACAGTAGCACTGATGTCAGTTGATTGATCTGTAAATTAGTCTAGTCATGTAGTGTGTAATCTGTACTGTCTGGTGGTTGTGTCAGTAAACAATGACAGAGTCGTGGTGCAAAGCTAGTAGTACTAGTAGTCAGTGTGTGTGGTACCTGTACAGGGAATTGGAACTGTTGGGGCTGGGTTGAAGGTGGGGTCACTGGGTGCTGGGTGGTTGTTGAATATTTCCTCCAGTCTAGGGTAGTTGTGTATAATATCTGGTTTCTGCAGCAGGTTCACGAGTTCACAGCATTTTGTATCTCCTTTATTCATCACTTTATCCAGCAGGTTGATGACAGTCTTCTCATCGGACTGATTGGGGATGTTTAGGTTTTTGTAGTCCCGCTGAGTCACTATTTTCTCCTGCTGCACATGCTGAAGGATGTAGCTGGAGTCCGCAGACAGGATCTCCGTTAACAAAGTCTTCTTCTCTCTCAGCGTCTGCATGATGGTCCTTAGAGAGACGGAGAGAGAAAAAGGAGAGTGTGTTCATTATATAAAAAACATATAATGCCACAGATGCATCTCAATGGCCAAGCCAAATTATGCTGATGTGACCTGAGTCATCTGCGCACATCATAACTGCATTAATAAAACCTGTCCTGTTCCTAAGATGTTTTTAGAAATTCCAAGAATGGGTTAATTTCTAAATGCAATGACTGCTGCAAGTTATGCTATCCTATGTGAGAATGATTGAATTACCGTTCTCCTAGCTGCAGGATATTATGGTGGCTCGATCACTGATTTTTATTTTCAGAATCCCCCTGCAAATACTTTTCCCACATTTTGTTACGTTACAGCATTATTCTAAAATGGATTAAATAAAACAATTTCCTCAGCAATCTACACACAATACCCCATAATGACAAAGCAAAAACAGGTTTTTAGAAATCTTTGCAAATATATTACAAATAAAAAATTGAAATATCACATTTACATAAGTATTCAGACCCTTTACTCAGTATTTTGTTGAAGCATCTTTGGCAGCGATTACATCCTTGAGTCTTCTTGGGTATGACGCTACAAGCTTGGCACATCTGTATTTGGGGAGTTGTCGCGAAGCCACTCCTGCATTGTCTTGGCTGTGTGCTTAGGGTTGTTGTCCTGTTGGAAGGTGAACCTTTGCCCGTCGTGAGCTCTCTGGAGCAGGTTTTCATTAAGGATCTCTCTGTACTTTGCTCCGTTTATCTTTCCGTCGATCCTGACTAGTCTCCCAGTCCCTGCTGCTGAAAAACATCCCCACAGCATGATGCTGCCACCACCATGCTTCACCTTAGTGATGGAGCCAGGTTTCCTCCAGATGTGACGATTGGCATTGAGGCCAAAGAGTTCAATCTTGGTTTCATCACACCAGAGAATCTTGTTTCTCATGGTCTGAGTCCTTCAGGTGCCTTTCGGAAAACTCCAAGCGGGCTGTCATGTGCCTTTTACTGATGAGTGGCTTCCGTCTGACCACTCTACCATAAAGGCCTGATTGGGGTAGTGCTGCAGAGATGGTTGTCCTTCTGGAAGGTTCTCTCATCTCCACAGAGGAACTCTGGAGCTCGGTCAGAGTGACCATCGTGTTCTTGGTCACCTCCCTGACCAAGGCCCTTCTCCCCCGATTGCTCAGTTTGGCCGGGCGGCCAGCCCTAGGAAGAGTCTAGGTGGTTCCAAACGTCTTCCATTTAAGAATGATGGAGGCCACTGTGTTCTTGGGGACCTTCAATGCTACAGAAATGTTTTGGTACCCTTCCCCAGATCTGTGCCTCGACACAATCCTGTCTCGGAACTCTACAGACAATTCCTTCGACCTCATGGCTTGGTTTTTGCTCTGACATTTACTGTCAACTGTGGGACCTTGTATAGACAGGTGTGTGCCTTTCCAAATCATGTCCAATCAATTGAATTTACCACAGGTGGACTCCAATCAAGTTGAAGAAACATCTCAAGGATGAGCAATGGAAACATGATGCACCTGAGCTCAATTTCGAGTCTCATAGCAAAGGGTCTGAATACTTATGGAAATATGGTATATTTTTATTTTATTTTTATAAATTAGCAAACATGTCTAAAAATCTGTTTTTGCTTTGTCATTATGGGGTATTGTGTGTAGATTGATGACGATTATTTAAAAAAATATATATTTTAGAATAAGGTTGTAACGTAACAAAACGTGGAAAAAGTCAGGGGGTCTGAATACTTTCCGAATGCACTGTAAATTGATAATTTTATGTAGGCCTACTTTTATTTTTTATATTTTATTATTTATACCAGCATTACTTTAGAAAGTTTACACAAATACTGGTATGTTGAAAGCTATTGTGTAGGCTACATTTATAGAAATACACTTTTTAATAACAAACAAATATATGTTCTTGGAATTACTGAGTACCCCCAACCTCACTTTTACCTCGGCACAAATAATAGTTTTTTCTCTATGAGCCGACATGTAATTTATATACAGTGTATTGCATTGGGGCCAATGGAATGGGCGGAGTAAAAGTCCAAAAACAATCTGTATTCATCAGTCCCCCAAGAAAAAAAATTAGAAAAAAAGATTCTACAGACGCTACTGAGTACTTCCCAACCCCACTTGTACCTCGGCACAAATAATATACTGAACAAAAATCTATAAGTAACATGCAACAATTTCAAAGATTTTACTGAGTTACAGTTCATATAAGGAAATCAGTCAATTGAAATAAATAAATTAAGCCATAATCTATGGATTTCACATGACTGGGCAGGGGCACAGCCATTTGTGGGCCTGGGAAGGCTTAGGCCCACCCACTTGGGAGCCAGGCCCAGCCAATCAGAATATTTTTTTCCCAAAAAAATTGTCTTTATTACAGACAGAAATACTCCTCAGTTTCATCAGTTGTCCGGGTGTCTGGTCTCAGACAATCCCGCAGGTGAGGAAGCCAGATGTGGAGGTCCTGGGCTGGCGTGGTTACACGTGGTGTGCAGTTGTGAGGCCGGTTGGACGTACTGCCAAATTCTCTAAAACGACGTTGGAGGCGGCTTATGGTAGAGAAATGAACATTCAACAATCTGGCAACAGCTCTGGTGGACATTCCTGCAGTCAGCATGCCAATTGCACACTCCTTTAAAACGTGAGACATCTGTGGCATTGTGTTGTGTGACAAAACTGCACATTTTGTGGTCTTTTATTGTCCCCAGCACTAGGTGCACCTGTGTAATGATCATGCTGTTTAATCAGCTTCTTGATGTGCCACACCTGTCAGGTGGATAGATTATCTTGGCAAAGTTGAAATGGTCACTAACAGAGATGTAAACAAATTTGTGCAAAAAAATTGAGAGAAATAAGCTTTTTGTGGGTATGGAACATTTCTTGGATCTTTTATTTCAGCTCATGAAACATGGGACCAACACTTTACATTTTGCGTTTATATTTATTTCTACAGCCCAACACTGTGAACATACCAGTGTCAACATTGCATTTTTCAATAGTGGTCTTAATTAGTATTTTTAAGGATATTTCTCATATTTCCCACTTGCAATTCCTCTGACTCCCTCCAGGGGTCTCGCGCCCCACACGCATTCATACATCCCTCTCGGATACAACGTTAACAACAAAGAGAAGGCTACAAGGTTACCAGGCGACTAAACTGGACAATGTCATGTGCAAATGCGGGCTAATCTTTGGGTGCTGAAGTTTGATAAAAAATATATATTTTATGTGACATCGGAGCTCCAGTCCGCCCACACTAGTCGCCGCTCAACTCCATCGTAAATCATGGAGTTGAGTTTATTCGGCTCGAAGGTAACAACACATTGTAACAATGTAACAAGCGTTCCTCAAATCGTCCCCAACAGTTAGAGACGGTGAAGACTGTTAAAAGTTAGGTAAATAGCTATAACCAATAGCTAATAAGTTTAGTGTAAAAGTACAGTAGCTATCAAGCAGTGTTGGGGAGTACAGTAGTGAACTACATGTAGTTCAACTAGTAATTTAACTACATTTTGCAGTAGCTTGGCAACTCAATATTAGCGAGGAGTCCTTAATGTTTTGTACACTCAGTGTATATTTAGCATTAGTGAAATTATTTTGATGTGATGTGAATGTAAAGGCAGTGGCGGTTTTACACGGAGGCCGGGGGAGGCCCGTGCCTCCCTGGAAATGTCCCTGGCCACCCCTGTGGCCCCCCCGTGCTGACCAAATAAAAAATTATGAATTTATAACTATTTTACACGCGAGCGCCAAAAGCGGAACTAATGCAACGCTCTACACGGCAACGTTCTACACGGGTAAATTAGAGTGGCGCACCCAAAAACTGTATCCTGCCATCTGCCTGCCTGCCACGTGTGGTGCTGCTTCGGTGAATGAGAGCTCAGCAACTACTATTTGCGAGAGGAGCTACGATTTGCAGGAGTCGAAGGTAAGAAAAAAGATTTAATATCATAAGTGACTTGTTGTTCTTGCACATAGCCTACATGTTCCTTTTGTTCCTCACACATAAATCAAATCAAGTTTTTAAATGTCTGGTCTCGATTTGTTTAGAAATGTAATCATATCTAAGCAAACTCATCGAAGCAGAAGCAAATATCCAAATGTTAGTAGCCTATCCTTGCTAGGTCTACACAATGTTGTGATGTTAACCACGTAACTTCATCCGTCTTGGCTGTTGCATCGCGATAACAAATACATTTTTAGTAAAGTAATCAACAGGTTATCTGCCAGTGTTAAGTAGGGAGGGATGGTTAGGTAACAAAATGTAATGCATGCCCCTACGTTTTTTCTTCTTCTAATAGTTATCATGAAACGAGGAAGGGACATAAAGTCATTTTTTGCCCCAGCAAACAAAAAAGTGAGAGAAACAAATCGAGGTTTTGAGAAAGTTGAGGAAGAGGGAGAGCCAGCATGTGATGAAAGTGAGGGGTCTGACAAAGAGAGGGAAATTCCAGAGGGTGAGGAGGATGAAGAAGAGGGTGAGGAGGATGAAGAAGAGGGTGAGGAGAATGAAGAAGAGGGCGAGGAGAATGAAGAAGAGGGTGAGAAGCATGAAGAAGAAAGCATACAGGGACAGAGAGATGAACAGCCAGAGGGACAGCAAGTGGATCCATGTGGATCAAGTACTGCACCATCAGGTTTGTGATGAGGAAGGTTCTTACTATTTGCAAAGCAATGCAATTACAATGTAATGGTAGGCCTGCTGGGTGTCCTTAAAATGCTGCTTTCTGCTGTTAATTCTTTTTTGTGTCAATATGGCTCAGTTTTTTTTTTAAAGTAAATACTTTGCCTACATTTTGAAATACATGCAGATATACAGTAAATAAATGTTGTAGTTGTGCCCTATGTTTACTGTCCATCTTCTTCAGATATCAGCAAGTCTAAGTATGACGTACCAGTACAGCCGAACTTGAAGATATTCCCAACCACACTGATGGGGGACAGAAGACGAAGCTTCAGACCAAACTGGTACACTACTCATCCATGGCTTGAGTATTCTGTAATGACGGACTCT